CCTCACTGGAGCGGGCAGGTCACTGGTGGTGTGATCCTGAAAGGCAAGTTCTTGTCTCCAGGTCTTTGCTCTTTGCTTCCCTGCTGTGTTGAGGTGAGCAGTGGTCCCCGACAGGCCCTTCTGTCACGCCTTTCTGCCTACAGCCAGCAACTATGGATTATATCCTCTGAAACCATGAGCCAAAATAAACCTGTCCTCTTCAACTGAGGGTGTCAGGATTTTTGTCCCAGCAAAGGGAATGTTGACTGATACAATCAGTTAGTGAAAAGTACTGCAGCTAAAATGGAGAGTGTAAGGAAGATGGCTGTGGGTGACTTAGGGTGGAACTGTCAAAGGCCGCACTGATGACATGGTGTTTATTTGGGGAAGACCCTAGCAGTGTGAACAGGCACCAGGAAATAAGAGTAAGAGGGCTCCAGACAGAGCTCCTGAGGTGGAACTGTGTGTGGAGCGCTTGAGGGAACAGAGAACCGTGACCCTCGGTTCAGAGTGAGCAAAGCCTGGCCAGTAATGACAGAAGATGCTGTAACTGAAATGGGCTTAGGTATCAGACATCTGTCCAAACAAGGGCCTCTTGCAAAAACAGAACTATATATGATTGTGAGTAAGGTAGTATCATTGTGCTCTTACTTTCAGAATGGGCCATTCTTGCACAAACATTAAAAAATCTGAAATTGAATTGGTTTATAATCAGGATAAAGGTTTTCATTTTCCATGGGAACTGTATAACCCTACTCTGTCCCTGTCTCTTTCATTCAATGCAACAGCTGATGGAAATTTTTTTAAAAAATGTATTTAGTGCAAGATCTATACAGTCTCACTACACAGATCGGACTCGTAGTAATCCTCCTGTTTTCAACCTCCCAAGCGCAGGGATTACAGGAGCTCATCATATGTGCAGTCCCAACACCAGCACGCCCTAGGGGTTGGGCCAGCACGGCACTCTGAGGATCGAACCCCAGGCCCTGCACCTGCCTAAGCAGGCTGGAAGTCTTACAACAGCATAGGTAAGAGGACAGGTAACAGTACAGGAAAAAGGGAGGAGGCAGGGAGGGAGGGGAAGAAAGGAGGGTGGAAGAGAGAGACGAGGAGCTGGTGCTCTGGCACAAGCAACTAAAATGAAGAAAGGTTACTGTGGTTCACAGAGTAACCTTTTAGTTCGTGCCTGGCCCCATGCTTCTGGGCCTGTGGGGAGGCAGCTAGGATGGGCAGAAGGGGACACATGGAGAGCGAGCCTGCTCACAGAGGGTAACCTGGCAGCCTTCAGCCTCTGAGCAAGATGTGCAGGCCCGGAAGGTGGAGAATCAGAGCCCTCCCAACTGCAGTCACATTGTATTAGGGGACTGAGATGTCTGCTCACTTAGTAAGCAAATCTTCCGTTGTGTCCTTGTTTAAAGGAGGAATATGTTAAAAACTCAGCTTGGTTGAAAAATGGACCAAATTTAAATCATTTCAAGAGGAACATGAAATCCAAGTTCTGTATTGAATTTCACTCGTGGATCATCTCTTGTGTGAGGAAAAAACCAGAAACTTAAATGATAGAAGAAAAGCTCATTAAGTCGACTCCTGACAATTAGAGAGAAAAGACAAATGAAGCCACTGCCACCAGCGTGAGACTGTGTACGAGTTCTGGTGACAGCTCGCCTGCCTCAGTCAGACGGGCCGAGCCAGCAGGGACTGAGGCTGCTGGTTATTAATCATTTGTCAGAGTCTGTGGGACTTTATAGATAATTATAGTTTTTAGTGTGTTTATATCACATAAACATGTGGCAAACCCACAAAGGACCCTAACACAATCTGCGATGACACTTTAAAATACTACAGATCAGAAATAATCCATAAAGGAAACACTTTGGAAACCATGCCATTCGCTAGTTCTTGGGACTCCTAGACTTATTTTCTAGATTGTTTCTTTCTGTCAATATTCAGAACCTTACAAAGCTTCTGACTGTATTCCTGCCTCTCAATTTTTCAATGAGTTGTAAAACAGCAAGTATAATCATCATTTGAAATGAAAGACTGGTTATTGACTCCATTAGTCTGAACAGACAACCAGAACGTAACCATAGTTTATTGCATAAAATTCATCCCTGAGCAAAATGTCTTGTATGGTGCTGAAGAATCTACATACACATAAAAATAGACGTGTGGAAGGGACAGCTCTGAACTCACACACCAAGAGATGGCGTTTTAAAACAAATGACTCGAGGCTGCAAACGACATCCATTTTGCTTTGTTTGGCAGCACGCGAGTTTACATGCTAGGAAACATTTCTCAACATGAATGAACTGTGAAATTGTTTCCTCCTACCCCGTGCTCCAGCCGCTTCCGCACCTTGTCCTATAGGCTGTCAGTGCCCAAGAGGCAGCACTGCTGGATGCGGGAGCCAGGGCCCCAGCATGAGATGCCGCCTAAATATCAGCCAGTGTGCTCGAAGAAAATAACGGGAAATGCCACGCCCTGCCTAAGAGCACATGTGGAAACGGCTCCGCAGACACGCCAGGAACGCGAGGAGGTGAACCTTGTGCATTTCAATTCCTAGACTGTAATCTTCTCAGGGAAATGATTCCCAGGGCGTCCCACCCTGACCCCACGTCAAGCACTGCCCTGCCAGTGTGAGTGGTTTTACTGTGAAGAAGACAGTACATGAATATATGCAGTGTGTTAGCTACTTTCAATGTACAACTAACTCTTCAGCATCCAAATCTGCCTGCTTTGTGGATTAAATGTGATCATTAATTTTAATCATGGACACACAGAATGAAGAAGGTAACTGGGATGCAGAAATGGAAATTTAGGACAAACTGCAAATGAAATGGAAGACTGGGGATACTGATTATTCTGCTACATTACTGAAGCTGATCGAAAGTTGATTTTCTACATCCGTATGTATGTACCCCTGAGTATACGTAACTTAAAAGTCTCAGGTCCCTGGAGGAGCTGCAGACTCTTCGGCAGCACTCACAGCCGTGGACCCTCCCAGAAGGCACTGGCATGCTGTGCCCCCAGTCGGTGTGCGGGCACACACCTCGCCCACCTGCCTAATCTCAACCACGCCAGTTCCTGCTGCTAACGATGGGCAGAATCTGCAGATGGGGAGCCATCCATCCAGGCTTCGGGTCAGATGCCAGCTTATCCAAGATGGTACATTTAGAGACTGACTTTTCACTACGTCTTTCTTATATTATCAACATGAAGTTTTATTTTAAAGTTCTTTATTTTGAGATACAAAACATGGAATATTATTTATAAGTACGTAAAAATACAAATCTTAAGATTCATAGCTTTCCATCTTAAGCTGCATTCCACACACTAGCACAGCGATGGCGAGTCTGTTATGCTTTCCATGACAACAAATGGCCGGCGGTGGCACAAGTGCCATAGGTTTGCCACCACACGACAGTGTCTACCCCATTTTATATGATGCTATATGCCAATTGCAAAATTTTATTTATGGTCCAATAATGCCTTTACATAGTTCTCCAAGCTGCTAAGTTTACAAACCAAGAGCAAAGCCTTGTAATTTGGAAATGTTCTGAAGAGTTATATAATATAATTATTTTCTAGGAAACTGGCTAACAAACCCACAAATTGGGTTGATGGTATTTAATTTTTTTGCATTAGAATTTCTTCTCTTTCTTTCATTCTGTAGAATTACTTTTTCCTAAGTGAGTGGATATTTAATTGGTCACATAAGGTAAACTGTTTTACTGGTGAATTTTCATGTATTCTTATCTGTCAGCCATAGCTTTTTAATATCCTATCTTTGGGAATTAACTCATAATAGAGATATTCAAGGTCTCAATGCCACAGCTAAATATTCAGTCATTCATTAATATGTAGGGATCTTCCTGCCTCAGCCTCCCCAGCACTGGGATTATAGGGGTCCGCCACCATGCCCAGTTTTCACGGCTGGCACAGCTACAGCACGGCATGTGGTACTGGGGATCAAACCCGTCTCCCTGCACTTTCCAGGCAGGTGCTTAGGCCACTGAGCTATCTCCTCAGCCTCTGGTCTCAATTTCAAACTCCTTATTACATCCATTTATGACAGTGACAATTTCCCTTATTAGGTAACATGAAAGAGTGATTAGATGAAGAACACGGAGCAGGAATACCGAGAAGGCTACTAATAAAGAACGTTTCCCTCCTGCATTGTGAGTACTCTCGGCCCCAGCAAGGGTTCTACAGGCAATGCTGATGGTCTCTTAGGAGCCGCGTTAAGTTTTGTAACAGCTTTACTAGCTCGGTAATATGCTATATTTGGATAATGAGATGAATTCCAATAACTAAGACTCTGAACGGAATGCAAGATACACTGACTTCAGTAAACTCCTGGCTATAATGAATAATGATAAAGTGAAATTGATTTATATGGAAAACTAGCTTACATAACTATCAGAAAGCCATATAACAATATATTTATTTAAAAGCTCAACTTAGACTTGCTTGTCAGCCAAAAATTAGGAGGTTTTTCCATAATAAGAAGTGAGATTCCAGGGTTACTTTTAAATAGAGTAATTTTGATATTATAACCTTTTGAATTTATGAAAAGGAGATTGGCCGCCTGAACTCTCTTGAAGAATTTTATATATTTATATATAATTTATGCCTCAAACATATCAACCAAGTATATATTAAAATATTTATGCATTTAAAATAATAATGAATAAAACAGCACTTAAAAGCGCTCGCTGTGCACAAGGCTCTCCAGGCCGCGGCCCATCTGCACGTCTTCCAGTCCCGCCAGGGAGTTCCCACGCCCGCAGCGCGCCAGCGTACTGGGCTCCGCCCCGCAGCGAGGCGGCTAAACTTCGGGAGACTGTTACCGCCAGTCACTCCACAGTTTTAACAAGAAAAGCAGATGGAGCCGCACTTTAAAACGAAAGAATTTTGGAAATCCTTTAGAAGTTCTGGAGAGGAATTTTATGAAACCAAAGAAAGCCACAATCTTCTAAGTAGTCTTTTTTTAAAAAGGCGAAAGGAATGATGATTCTTACCGAGGGTTAGAAGGAGAAGGCGGGTTCATTTCTTTCTGATAGTGACGACCCTGGTTGACGGGCTGTAAAAGACAAAGCATTTATGAGGCATTCATCAGCACTGGGATCCTTATATATTTTCTTACATACATTCTCTGTGCTGTAAGTTTTTCTGATATACAAACCAGAGTAGGGGGCTAGGTTTGCTTTCACCCAGGCAAACGCTCGCTGGGAAAGCCAGCAGCCAGCAGACGCTCCCAACGACACCGCGGAAGTTGCCAGTGGCTGCGCTCCGCAGCGCCGGCACTGTCATCCCAGTCTGTTCGCCGCCGGAATCCTCTGCTTTGTGTAGTTTCTATGCTGGTAGGTACTGGCAGACAGAGCAAGGCAAAGCAAGGTGTGGCGAGGCACAAGCGCCCCTCGGAGAGAGTGCGCAGTAGGCAGCGACCTCGCAACACACCTACTTAGGTCTCACGGCGAGTATGTTCGCCAGGATATTATTACCGCTAGCGAGAATTACACATGCAAATCTAGACTCAGGTAGTAATTTTCCCGAGAGTGCAACCGAACAGTAGGCCGAGGAGTGAGCTGAGAAGTGATGCGGATGCCTGACAAAAGGTGAAATCTCAAGCTTTTCCTTAGCAAGAATCCAAGCACCTACCATATTTGAGAGGCAATAGAACGCCCATCTCTGACAAAACAAAAAAGGGGGATATAAATGAAGGACCATTTTGTAGTGAAAAAAATATGTATTTGTATATACAAAATAGCTAGGATATATAGTTACTTTCTTTTAGTTTAATGAGAAGAAAGTTTTGAGCTAACAGTGTTTAGACATGATATCATGTCTGCATCTTGTACTCTGAATAACTACTATGAAGACAATATGAATGTATTAATGATTGTAACTGTCCAACTAACCTGTTTTGAAACTGTCTCATTGCTGTTTCTTTCTCATTAAAATTAGTATCAGGAGGAATGCAAGCTGCCCTGTTGTAAGTTTTGGGGTTTTGTTTCTACCACCCCCTCAGACTAGTTTTTCAAGTGAGGTACTCAATTTTCTAATAATAAAACTTACTTAAGTGAAAAATAAAAGAAACCTTTAAAATTACTGTTTTATAACACAGGCGGAAAACTACCTCCTATGTAGTCATAAATACTTATCTCTAATGGAGCTTGATCTCTTTCTTTCATTCTACAAAGCAAAAAAATTCCAATGTATCTAATACAAATTCTCTTTTGAACATCAGCTTTAAGGATTTTTCTTATGTGGTTAACAACAATGTAATCAATACAAAAAAATCACACTTTTTAACACTCTCATCCTATGACAAGTTGGAATTTGGTATACATTTCTGAATTGCATTCACAATGCTGATTCCTTACGCAGAGGGGTTGGTGTTAAACTTCCTCAGCCAGAATAACGTGGCCCCACACTGTTGACCCGACTAAGGAAATACTGTGGCTGGGAGGCTTATAGAGAAAGAGCCTGCATTTCTTCTACTCCACATATTTTAATGGATGTTGAAATATTAATGACACTAGTGATGGGAATTCTTGAGAGTAAACCATCTCCTCTAAATAATCTCTTGGAAGTATTCCTCTAATTTAAACCAAACACCCTGTCTGATAATCACAGTCACTTAGCCTGAATACCTGGGATGCACTGTGAATTTCAATGTCCTCAGACACTTTGGTAATTGAACCAATATCAATACACTGCCATTTCAGTAATAAGAAACAACAGCTTGGAGAACAGTGGAAGGAAAAATATGTCATAAGACATATTTGATCTCACTAGAGAAATAAGACTTCCAGCAATTTGCAAGGGAAATTTACTTCTGTGATTTAGGCTTTATTATCTCCTAGCAAGAAAGAAATTAACAAGCAGAGGGCCTAAACAGCTCTTTGCACCAACTCACACTGGCATAAAAATCCTCCCGATAATAAATTCATTGGTATTCGTTCTGTATCTCAGCTGTACTCAGGCCTCCAGTGAATGGGATTCTGCCTATTTACTTTCAGAGGCATTTCCATAACTTTCTAAGCATCACAGTCTTGCAAGTCAGCCAAATGTCCATTTCTTAATTTTATGTTACTAATTCTATTTATACTGGTTTCAATCCCTTATTAAAATGACTTACTCCATCCCTTGGGAAATACGCATCTTGTTTGTGACTCATTTCTCACTTGACAATACAGAGCCTGGTGCCTTCCTGTCTTTACTTGTGTCCATATAAAACAGTGATACATAGTTAAAAAACCATAATCAATAAAAATTCACATGCCCAGTGCTAGAAAACAAAAATAACAAATGGAAACTTTTCACAGTAATAAAAACTGCAGGCGTAAATAGGCAGAAAGGCGAATGACAGCCCGGCTGTCTGAAGCCAGCTGTCCCCACCAATGGCTATTGACAGGGTACAGGGCATGCTACTTCTACATATGAAACCTTAACTTTGAGAAAAACCACAGAAGCAGGACATGCACTGTCACCTTCCTTTCTGCTTTCTTGAAGCAGGTCATAAAACAGGACAGATTTCCTGAACCAGATCTTTATGTGAGAGATACCCTCCCTGTAACCAGAAGAAAGAAACATCCTTATTTGTGAAGACAAAGTGTTACAGAGAAGGAAATAAACAAAATGCCTTCTTTCAGCTTGCCCAGTACTTCTCCATGACATTCTACTTGTCAAACCTGGCATAGAAATTCGTGTTTAGCCATTTCTTTAGGCCTTCATTTGGGTCACATAAGACTTCTATTAAATAAATGTATACAGTATACACTCTTCTTTCTTGTTAGCTTGCCTTCTGCCATAAGGGCCCTTAGCTAGGAAGACAGGATGGTGAGAAAGGATACCCCCTACTCCACTGTATATTTCCAAACATATGTAGCAGCAAGTATTTTTTAGATAGGTAGTACTCAGTAAATGTATCAATGAAAAAATAAAATAATTTTTGATCTTGGAATTCAGCTACATCTAGAGAATATTATAAACAGATACAAAGAGACAGCAACCAATATCTATAAGGAACTACGAATAACAAATGATAGCAGAACAGTATTGGTTTGTGTTGAGTTTTCTCGATGCTAATTCTTTTTTTTTTTGGCGGAACCGGGGTTCGAACTCAGACCCTTGTACTTACCAGGGAAGCACTTATTCTACTGAGCCATCTCCCTGGCTCGATGCTAATTCTTGATAAACACAGTCTCACTTGATCCTCACAGCAATTCTATGAAGTAGGCAGAATTAATTCCCTACCACAGAAAAGGCCATTCAGACAATAGCGCCAACCCACGGTCACGTGTGCCAGGCGACAGCGGAGCCAGAGTGCTAGCCTGGGCAGGTTCCATCGCTCCCCTCTCACCACTACTTTGCAGTGTTTAATTCACCTGGGCTTTCACACAGAATGCTAAGCACAAAGATTCTAAATAACAAATGTGGCAAATCCTTTCAGTTTACGGCAGGGGAAAAAACAACTGATCCTGAAACACCTTTATTTGAAATATGTAAGAATACTGCCGGGCTGGAGAGATAGCTCAGTGGTCTAAAGCTGCTTAGGCAGGCGCAGGCATGTGCAGGGACTGTGGTTCGAACCCTGGCACCACAGGCCACGCCCCCAGGGCTGGCTGAGGCAGCCACACACAGACACACAAAACGACTACCTCCTTACTGCAACTTAAATTCTGTGACTTAATTCTCATGCTGTATTACTATATATTTAAAATTACAGATAAGTTTTGCCACCCTGCTAAATTTGAGACAAATTTAAGATATAATTGATAGTATTCTAAGAATAAGGAAAGTTTATTCAGCTTTGCAAACGTAGAGCAACTCACACATCCAAATACATTCTCCCTGACAATGCAGACACGGCGCTGACTCCGTCACCAGTTTTTGTCTATCATTACTATAGTCCTACAAGGGACTACATTTGCTCATCTGATTTATCACAGCTTAGCACAATCAACTACTTTCCCTCTTAGTTTAGGGGATTAAAAGGAAGCTCTTTACACCTAAAAAGCGCTGAAAAGTTAAAGAATTTATAGGTCAGAAGAAGTTAAGATCTATTGTGGGCCAACCCCTTAGCTTAGCTCTTTAAGTAGCTGCTTCAACAAAGCTGTCAGGCTCAGGTTGCTGTGGTTCGATCCCCACAACTCCAGCCAGCCAAACCTGCCCTGAAGGCATTCGGAGAAAAAAAATCCTTCCACCGTTTTGTAGTTACATTCTCTTAATGAATAGAGGGATTTGTTCTAATAGTGTTTGTAAATAGGATATCATGTCCGCATCTTGTACAGCAATTAACCACTAGGAAGAATGTATGCAATGTGTTAATTATTGAAACTGTCCTACCAATTTGATTTGAAACTGTCTCATTGCTATTTGTTTCTCAATAAAATTATGGAAAAAAAGAAAGATCTATTAATGGTAAGGCACCCAAAGGTCATGAAATGATGCATGTGGACACACAGAAGGCGGAGCTCACTCGGCAGAGCCCTGGGACAGATCTCGGGACGTGGGACTTGTCCTTTTGGTGGCGCTGTTGCTATGCAGGAGAGCTACCACGCAGTGCTCAAAATGAAGCACAGTCCTGCTTTTCTGTGACCAAGCTGCTAGTAATTTTGGAGTGAGGGAGAGAGGCGAAGGCCAAAATAAGAGAACACATCCTACTCTGGTAAAAGGTAGAGGCAATATTTTTATGTCTTTGTGTAAAACCAGTGAAAGTGGCAGCAATGTTACAAGGTTAATCAAGGCTATAAATAACTTGTCTAGGAAACTCACCATATGCTCGTAATTTTATTAAGTGAGGCTCGCCTCGTTTTTCTCTACATATTACGTTGCTAACATGTCATGTTGATGGATGTTCGCAATGAGCTTTACAGTTTCTTTTCTTTTCTCTTTCTTTTTTAGCAAGCTGGGAAGCCCTGTGTGCTTGCTGCTAGGCTACGGAGTGAGGACTGCCTGACTCCAAAGCCCGCGGGCTGGGGGGCTCTGCTCGGAGGGCAGCATGCACATCACGGGTACGCTGTCCGTGAGTGCAGGCTTCTGGGTTGCAAAGACAAGGAAACCACGGAAGAGCCG